GCTGGTACCACTGATATATATACATACATATATATGTGTATATATATATATATATATATATATACATATATATATATACATATATATAAATTGTGGTATATATAAATATACCATCAATACTGGAAGTATATTTAAAAACCTACTTTTTTTTAAGAATATTAAATATTTTTCTCTTTAAGCCCTTTCTAAGACTAGGGGTAAGGTGGGGTAGCAGGAGTGGAGACAAGGTAGGTGATAAATTGAGGACAAAAAAGCCTTTCTTTAGGTAAAAAGGATTAAAGGACAACCTCCTCAAATTTATCTTATACCCTTAAAGGTCTAAAATAAGGGCCTATAATACCAAAATGCTCCTTAGGCAACCTGTAGGGGCTCCATAGGCCCTTTCACCACCTCCAATTCAATGAAATTGACATGGCTGGGGTGGGGAACACCGGCAGAGATTTCCTGAGGGAGTGTTCCAGGCTAAGGGCTCAATTCTGAAATGTTAATCCAGACTGTATTGAGGATATCTTTTCCTTCTTACTGATTTCTAAATATGTTACTTGGAATTGTCTTGTAGTCCAATCAGTCAGTTACTAGAACAAGGTAGTCAGTCACAAAATAAATGCTTGTTGATTTGACTTGAAATCACAATTTTATAGTCAGAACCTCCATTTGAGGAAACTGAGGCCAAGTCATGATTACAGTCATAGTGCTAGTTAGGCTGGGACTTGAATGCAGGTTTATTGTCTTTTTTGTTTTAGAATGGGTCTCCCTATGCTGAAAGGGCACAGACCACTCAAGGGCCAATCCCATCACTGATTTGCACAAGAGTTTGGACCTGCTTGTTTTCAGAGATAGGTCTGTTTGTTCCTTTTTAGGAAACTCTCTACTCCCCCTACCCTGGAACCAGGCATAATGGTGCCAGACAGCGCTGTCACACCACAGGCATTGTCTACTGAAGCTTAGAACTCCCAAATCCAATGATCTACCACCCTTTGCCTACCCAGTAGCATGCACTACCATTTCCATCCCTTCTTAGTGTCTTTATGCTTTTGTCCATGATCTTTTTTCTTCCCTGCCTATAGTACACCCAAATCCTTTTCTCCACTCTATAGCCCTTAACACTTAGCTACAAAAAGTCTACATTAGCTAAGATCATACGAAGTTCTCTATTACTTTTTTCCTTTAGCATTTATGTAGCCATTTTCACCTAGATTATAATGTGCTTGTCTATGTTCTCTATAGCACTTAACGTGTGCAAAGCACTTTACCTGTTATCACACACAGGGAGGTGATATTATTGTGCCTCACAGTTCCCACAGGTGAGGAAACTGAGACACAGAGGTTTAATGAACTTGTCCAGGGCCAAGTTGAATGTCTTGAATTAGAATTTAAACTCTGAAATTCCTGACTCCAAGTCCTAAGTTCTATGCACTGTTTCACCTAGCTGGCTTATATATTCAACTGTTGTTTTCTCAACTACCATAGATTATGGAGTCTCTAGCACAGGGAATAAAAGATTTGAAAAACTGAAAAATTTAAATTTGTATAAATTTTGAATAAACATTTACTAAGCCTCTACCATGTACCAGGCACTGTGCTAAAAGCAAAAGAGTCCCTGACCTCAAGGATCTTGCAAGGTAATGGAGGAGATATGCAAATATACAGAGCAAGCTATCCACAGGATGAACAGGAAATAACAGAATAACTGGAAGTAAGAAGGGTTGAGAAAACCTTCCAATAAAAAATGGGATTTTAGTTGAAACTTAAAAAAAGCCAGGGAGGTGGGTATAGTAGGAACGGAAGAGGGAGAGCATTCCAGGCATTAGAGGAAGCCAGAGAAAATGCCTAGAGCCAAGTGATAGACTGTCTGGTTTGTGTAGCAGCCAGCACAAAAAGCATTTCTTAATCACTTATTACTTGCAAAGCACTGTGCTAAGCACTGAGGTGCTAAGCATAAGACAGTCCATGCTCTCAAGCTCAATTCTAATAGGGTCAGAAGACAAGACATGTAAGCCATACTTCCTACTTTGTTTCCCCACAATGCCTAGCATGCTATTTTTCACATTATAAGTGTTTAAAATACGCTTACTAATTGGAATAATCTTGATTTATTCATCTTTTTCCCAAGAGCCAAAATACTTCCCAGGTAGCTATGGTTTTGTTCATTCCACATATCATCTGATAAAATACTCCCTCAGCCTTGAAAGCCCTTTCACAATCCCTCTCCAACATACAGGCCGATTTCACATTATTTCCCCTAGAGTCTAATACTTTTGGGCCAAATTTGTTCCCTATGCATAACACTCTACCTCTTGGCCTTTGTACAAACTGTCTCCTAGGTCTGGAATGCTTTCCCTTCTGTAATGCCTAGGGTTCTTAAATGGCCTCAGATCAAACGCATGCTCTAAAATCCCTTTCTAGATATTCCTAGCTTTCCAAGCTCTCCCTCACCAAATGACTGTATTTTGTATTTATTTTGAATTTATTTTTCTGTGTACATAATACTTGCTTCTAAGCCAGGAGGGGGGAACCTGCAGCCACATGTGGACCTCTAGGCCCAAAGTTCCCGACTCTCGTATCTAAGCCAGTTTTATCATTAGAATTTAGTAAAGTGTAAGCACCTTGAGGGCTGGCACTAGGTTTTGGGTTTTGGGGGGGGGTTGGCCCCTAGAGTCTAGAATAGTGCCTGACACAGATCTCAATGCTTATTAAATTCAACTGATAATGGGGATTAGGTAGTGTGAGGACAAGTCCCATTTCTCTAACTTATTAAATGAAATATAATTTCCTTTTTTTTGCATTCCGGTTTGTCCTTTCCTCCTTAGCTCTGAGTGCTATTGCTCAACTCTGTATGAAAAATACTATGTGTGACAATTTAGCACGAAAAGAAATCTCTCTGCCCAAACCCAAATACTCCTAGAATGAATATGGCTACTGAATAGCTGCTTCTGTGTATAACCCTCAGGTACTAGCAATCTGTTAGGATTATAGATTTAACATTGAAAGGGGACCGACCAGCCCTCTACTTACAAACAAGAAAATTGAGTTCTGAAGAAATTGCCCAAGGTCAAAGTTTGAACCCAAGCTCTCAGGCGCCAAATTCAGTTCTTTCCATTGTACCACAATACCGCCAGAGAAGTAGTCTGGCAGCTGAGCTAAGTCATCTTAAATAGCAAGCAATTACCACTTTAGCTCATATTTGGGTAGAATAGCATCCATAAGGGATCTGACTCTTGAGAAAAATAACTTGCCCATTATCTCTTTAAATAACAAACACATAAGCTCTTTTGTCACTATATAACACCAGAGCTGTTATTTTTTGTAACTGGAATGACATTTTCTGGTGCCTTGGTGGGGTCTAAGATTAGAGATTGTTCTCACACTATGACATAAGTTCATGGACCAATCACTGTTCAGACAGCTAAGATAGTATTCATCTCAGCCGAGCATTTCCACTTCCTTGGATTCCTTAAAAAAAGAGAAATACTTTGTAGACATCCTATATTTAAGATGGATTACAACTCAATGTAGCATACAGAAATAAAAATGTGTTAGGTACTGGGGTGCTAGAAGTGGGGGAAGTGTTGGGAAGTAAGAAGGCGTACCTTCTTATACCTTCGTATAAGCCTTGATCAGAAACCTGACTAAAAGGGAATAAAAATATTTAATCCTCTCAGTCAAACTGGAGAGAGAGGTAACAGGCTTCTGGCTATTTATAGACCTTAATGTTAGCTAATGTTAGCATGTGTTGGTACCTATATTGTATCCTTAGCTGAGATCACTTGGGGAGAGATACAAACTGGGCAAATAAAAGTCACTAAGAGAATCAGATTTTTTTTTATTATAATCTTTTTATGTTAGGCTCTTAAGGAATTGTAGATGCCAGATGAGTCCCCCACCCCACCCACAATCCACTCAACTCCCTCCCTTAGGCTTTAGTCATATGAATATGAAGATGAAATGAGCTCCCCAGGGCCCCAATTTAGACAATAACGGGGACAACAGATAGAAGTAATAACAATAATCAAAGCAGAGAATAGCTGAGAGAAGTTTATCTAAATTGGCGGTGGGGGTAAGGATTTGTATCTGGCCAGGCATTTCCATTTCTCAGACTGCAAAAGAAATCAATTGGTGGGGTGCCAGGAATGTGAGGATAATCCAGATAAACTAGTTCCTGGCCACCAGAATACAATAAGTTTTAAAACTGATGTTAAAAGAGAGAAGCTGACATGCAAATATTATAATCACAACACAGCTTTTCCAAAGAAGAGAGTTAAATACTCTAATTGGGCCTGAAAGCAAAGGAGACATAGGAACTTCCCCAGGAAAAAAAGGAGCAAATTGCTATTATCCACCATCCCACAGCTTCACTACAAAGTGTTGCCTAGAAACTGGATTTAGGTGCTATAGACCACTCTTGACAGATGATGCCACACACACATTGCCCTGCGATAAAGCACTTCCGGGGAGACCTAGGAACAGTGGGATCTCCCGTTTCAGAAAATTCTTTTATCTGTTCTTCCCAAGCTCCATTTTCAAGTCATTGCTGCTTCTCTGAGAAAGTCTGATACAGTCTCTCCTCTGAAAGAACAGTTGGGTAGGTGCACTCTCTAGTAAAGCCAGCAGAATTACCTAAAGCTACTTAACTGCCTGAGTCCTGATGTTTCTATGCGTCCACTAAGACCTACCACCACCTCACAAGGAGGTTACAGGCACAAAGATAAATACTGATGGAGTCATGCATCTTTGGCAGCATTTAGTCAAGTTTTATTGGATGCTTGGCTTTAATGAATGGCAATATAATTTGTGCATCCCTGCAGCTCACTCCTGTCTTACCAGCCGGGAAGAGGCATAGGTGAATTTTAGTTGTTTTACCAATTGTTCCAAGGGGGATAGAGAAGAATTCTTTAGTTGCTGCATGATTCTACAAGGGGCAGGAGAAAGAGCTAGGGAGAAATAATCTACAGCCCCATTTAGCTCCCACAGAAAGAAAGGAAAACACCAGTTAGACTCACCTACAATGATGCCGCAGGCACTGATCAACCCAATCTCTTTCTTCAGTGCTACTCCACCCCCTCCAGAACCAGCATCTGGACCAGGATCAGACTCGCTCCCGCCTGTGGGGCTCTTTTCAACGTTGTTTCGGTGCCTGGCCTTTTCTTCCATCTTTTTTTCAGAAAAAAAAAATCAACCACTGAAATTTCCTTCCCCTCAGCCTACTTATCTATTTGTATTTCTTCCTAAGCCTTTCAAATGAAAATGTCCTTTTCCTAAAATGACCCTTCGTCCTGGCCCTTTAAAAGAGGCACATGTAGATAAAAAAGAAAATCTCAAATTTACATTTAGTATAATTAAGACACTTTCCGGTCGCTCTAGGTTGCCACCAAAGAAAGTGGTTTAAAAAGGAAAAATAGACATGTGGACAAAAATAGAATTGAACCAGCTACTCCCTCGAGCACTCACAGGAGTGAGGGGATGTGGATCTCCCGAACCAGAGCTGAATTCTGCTCAATTTACACAGGCAGCTGCTTCATGCAGATGCACCCAGACAGTTTGGATTTCCCTTTAACACTCTCCTCAAACCAATATCCAAACTGGCTTTTAGCTCAGCTCGGTTTTTTTTTTCTATGAAGGTTAGAGCATTTTTTTTATTGACTGAGTCTTGGGGAAAAAAAAGGCAATCCTCAGGTGCTTTCTTCTCTTTTATAAGAACAAACTGCAGACAAGCCGGTTTGCTCTAGATTTTGTTCCACGGGGTGTGGATTTTCCTTTCCCTTCCTCTCTCCTCCCCTTTCCTTTCTCCTGCCTTCAGATTTTCCCCACTGTTCTCATTTATTCTTATACGCTAGTCTCTTTTCTTCCTGTCCTTGGTTTTGTTTTGCTTCGTCTTGTTTTCCTCTTTCTATCTTATAGCTCTGAGTTCTGCATCTCTCTCCGTAGCCACAGGAAGAGTAGCTTCTTCACGTGTGAAAGACCTTAGCTTCCAGCTTGGGGTTTTATTTCCTGAACTCACAGTAGGCTCCGCCTACTCTCCATCCTCAGTAGCTTTCTCTTCCCTCTTCTTCGATTTCGGTATTAGCACACAAACCCAAAAGACTTCTAAGAAAATGGGATTTGCTGTTTTCCTCTCTTCCATCTTCCTTCTTGTGACAAATTGCATATAAATTCCTCCCCTTGCAAATGTTCCGGGAGATTCATTAACTGGTATAGCATTACACGCCATGTAACATTTGTGAGCTTTATAAATAAGGGAACAGTTGTGGAGACCGTTTTAAATCCATCAGAAATAAACTGGACTCATGAAAAAGTTTTGTAAGAATTAAGTAGAGATCACTTGAGGGTACTAGGAGCCAGGAACCCTGGCATGACTCCTGCGAGTAGGTGAAGGACTGGGAGACGTGATTTGAGGATGTGGAGGGAAAATAAAGAAAAAATTAGGATTAATAAAAAGGGAGCACATTTCCTGTTGGAGCTTAAGAAATGGAGAGATTTGTGTGGCTTTGCTTTTTAAAGGATTGTTTTCTTTTAAAATCTAAGTTGGGGCGGGGAGAGGAAGGAGATGGCTGGCTCACAATTGGAAACTTTTACAAGTAGGACCAAATGAGACATTGAGAATTCAAGAATGGGAGACTATGGGCTAGGCTTGGACTCTAGTCACAGGCAAAGAATGGAACAAAGCTGACCCAATGGGACCTTTCACAACTCCATTTAAAAAAAAAAATGTGACCGGACTGTTTGAATGGAGAAAAAGAAATATTTTACTGATCTTGAGACAAGGTCATGGCTTAATAAATTACCTTAATAATGACTGCAATTCCCAGGTCCTTCCTCATCCCCACTCCACCCTAGCCCCAGGTATTCCAGGCTGCATTTTATCCCTGAATTCTTTGTATTTCATTTGAGTGGTGAGGTCTGTGGTCTCTGTTTAAAACTGTAAAGCATTTTGTAAGTCCTGAAATACTTTAAAAGATTGCACTATAGAAACATGAAGTTCATTTGAGCCTGCATACGTGTTCCATATACAGTACTTCTGTTTCATGGAGAGGAGAGGTCTAAATGCCTAAGTTCCTTCAGGTTACTGATTACAGAAATTTCCTCAAGAATAATTCCCACTTTTGGAAAAGAAAAAAACCAAAAACACACACACATATATAATTAAATCTTGAAACTATATAAGAAAGGTTTGAACTAGTCCCTTAAAGAAAACAAAAACAACCACAACCCTAAGATTGGGCTCATGGTAACTTTGCATAGGAGTAAAAGTCCCTGACTGAGTTTTCAATCCTTGAAGCTTCTTTCCAAGTCCCTTGCTCCTTGATCACTCATTAAGAGGTTTCAAAGGTTATGGCCCTCAGCCCCTTCCTCTACCTGGAATTTGATAGAGACAAAGCAAACTGAAAGCCTCAGCAAAAAAAGGTGAAAGGAGAAATTCAGCAAAAGAGAACAGGAGAGACAGGGAACGGAAAAACAAATGTAGCAAGTAAACTTTCTGAGAGGGAAGGAGTTGTTGGAAATGAAACTTTCTTTTGGGGGGGGTGGCTGCCTTTGGCATTTGTTTGACATTGGGAAGCTTTAGGTTATAATTTAATACATCAAAGTATGACTTCCCAATTAAAACATTTTTAGTTATTATTAATCAATATAATGATTTCTGCTCAGATTCTGCCATTGAGAGGCACCAAAAAAAGAGTATAACTCTACTTTTTTAATTCTTGCAAATATGACTTTTTTCTGTAACTTATTTATGACTAAAAAGGTATAGATTGAATATGAACCTTACCAGATTAATGCAAAACCTTTCCGATTGAGGAAGACTAGATTTAGAAAGCTTAGCTTCTAGGCAGCGGAGCCCCGGGGGTACAGTCATATGAGAAGTCCAGAACTATAGAGCTGCTACAGATTATTATTTGTGTTTCTTTAGTATATTTAGCCTTTGTGTGTATATATGTATACATATACACAGACACACATATACATATATACACCTACATATCAAGATCTAGATCCCTCTTTCTCTATCTTTATCTAACCTCTAGCAAAGTACTGTGCTAAATACCTTATCGTTTTTTATCTCATTTGTTACAACCCTGGAAGAAGGTAGGAGCTATTGTTATCCCTATTTTACAGATGAGGAAATTGAGGTAAATGGAGGTTAAGTGACTTCTTAGTAAGTGTCTGAGACTGGGTTTGAACTCAAGGCTTCCAGATTCCAGCATTCAGTGCACTCTGGCAACAACTAGCTGCCCTTGAAAAGCAACTTATGAACAACTCGCTGTTTCCCTCACCTTACCTGATTCAACATTTATCCGGAGCCTATTAGTATGCCAGGCACTGTGCTAGGCATTGGGAATAAGACAAAAATTAAATATATCCTAATATCAAGGAGAATCCATTCTACTGGTGTTCCTGACTCACTTTAAGTCCCAATTAAAATTCTACCTTGTACAGGAAGTCTTCCCTAATTCCCTTAATTCCAATTCTTCCCCACTTTTAGTTATTTTCCATTTATCATGTCTATAGCTTGCTTTGTATATATCTGTTTGCACGTTCTCTCCCTCATTAGAGTGTAAGCTCTCTGAGGGCAGGAATTGTCTTTTGCCTTTTAACACAGATCTTGGCACAAAGTAGGCACTTAATAAATGTTTATTGACCAGAATGGAACTGAAAGAGCATGTACATAGAGAAATAAATGCAATATGTAAACTAAAAATATAAAATAATCTGCTGAGTAAGAGAATTGACGATCCAGGAGGTCAAGAAAGACAGACTTTTTGTAGGAATTAGTGCCAGGGCTGAACATAAAGGCTGCCAGAAACTGTAAGAGGTGGAAATGAGGAGGGAGAGCTTTTCAAAAAGGCATAGAAGGAGCATGTGGCCTATAGGAAACAGGTCAATCAGGGCAGAAATGAGGGAATGTAAGGAGGAAATAGTGTGAAGTTCATCTGGAGAGATAAGTCAGGGCCTGATTATGAAAGACTAGGAGTGTCCAGCAGAGGTTTGTGTTTTATCCCAGAGGCAACAGGAAGCCGTTGAAACTTCTTGAACGGGAGAGTTGACATAAGCAGAACTGTGCTTTAGGCAGTATAAGTTTGGCAGCTTTGTGGAGAATGGGTTGTAGAAAAAAGAAATTGGAGTACAGAGATCTATTAGGAGACTACTGAGATAGCTCAAGTGAGATGATGAGGGACTGAACCCAGGTGATAGTAATGTAAGTGGAGAAAAAGGGGGCAGATGGGAGAGATGTTGTAGAAGGAGAATCAGTAATCTTTTCAACTGATTGGATATTCAATGAATACAGGAATTGCAGGGATACTTTGTGAAATGAACACCCACTAGAATGAGTTATAGTGGAAAGAGCCCTGGTTTTGGAAATTGGAAGATCTAAGTTTGACTCCCCTCTCTGCTTTGGGCCTCAGTTTGCATAAAATAAGGGTATTTGACTGGATGACTGACCTCATTGTTATATGCCTGTGAAACCTGGATTGTAAGTAACTGAATCGTTTCTATTTGAATTGTCTTAGGAAGATTCTGAAGATCACCTGGCAGAATAAGACACCAGATACTGAGGTCTTTTCTCGAACTAAACTGTCAAGTATTTAAACTATACTGCAGAGAGCACAACTCCAATGGGCTGGCCACATTGTTCAGATGTAAAATGTACACTTGCCAAAAAGACCATTTTATGAAGAACTCACACAGGGCAAGCATTCGCATGGTGGTCAGAAGAAGCAGTACAAGGACACTCTCAAGTCTCTCTTAAGAACTTTGCTTGTGTGACATGGCAGACATTGGCAGGACCACCCAGCATGGCATGCATGCCCACATCAGAGTAGGTGCTGTGCTCTCTGAGCAAAGATGTGAAAATTTAGAGGATCCACCCCAAATGTTCACATGGACTATTTGTGCCTGACCTGTGGTAGAGAATTGCAACTTATACTGGTCTAATCAGCCACAGACACACTGAAACTTCACTCTAACATAGTGATATCATTTTGGTCCTCTTCGAGAATGAAGGACGACAACCCACCAGTTCTAAACTCTATGATCTTATCTCTGAAGAGGTCCGGGGAATTTGGTCTGTTTTGTGCCTAAGAATTCTTAGGCCCGTGCCAGGAATGTATTCCCCAACAACATCCCTCCTAATGTGTTTTGAAACTCAAAAGGGACCCACCAATGGCAATTACCATTTTCCACACTAATACCCTATTCTCCATTTTTAAATAAGGTGTATATATATATATATATATATATATATATATATATATATATGTGTGTGTGTGTGTGTGTGTGTGTGTATTATATATAATAATATATGTGTGTATTTATACACACATACACATTTATATACACATATATGATATCGAAATATATATGTGTATACACACACATATATATATATATCTATCCTACAGTATATCTCAGTTGCCAACATCAGAGTGGCCTGTTAATATTGCTTACTTATGTTAGGAACAAATGGTTCCCCTTTAACCTGAGGAAGGTAGAAGAGAAAGTAAAATATCACAAATGCTAATTCAGTGGCACTCTCTTCCAGAAAAAGGCTGAGAGTGGGTGACACCTGCTGTTCAAATAGAGACATGACATGGTAATGTGTGCTATTTCAGTGAATCCAACTATTGTTGTTTATTCGTTTTCTGTTCAGTTGTTTTTGGTCATGTCCAACTCTTTGTAACTCCATTTGGGATTTTCTTGGCAAAGATACTGCAGTGGTTTGCCATTTGCTTCTCTAGCTCATTTTACAGGTGAGGAAACTGAGGCAAACAGGTTTAAGTGACTTGCCCAGAGTCACATGGCTAATAACTGTCTGAAGCTGGATTTGAACTTAGGTCTTCCTGACTCTAGGCCTGGGCTCTATCCAGTGCACCACCCAGCTGCCCATGGTTAATAATGGCTGTTATTAAAGCAAAGGATTGACTGTAGTGCTCATCCATTTCTGTCTTTCACAGTGAACCCTATATTTACT